AAACATGTTAAATTAAAATTTCAGTGGAGATCTACCATAGAAAAGTGACAATTGTCATAATCGTTATTTTTAATCTTTTTTGAATTATTTTGAAGCAAAAATATAAAATTATATATTGTAAACATGTTAAATTAAAATTAAATGAGGATTTACCATAGAAAAATGACAATTGTCATAATCGTTATGATCATTTTAGAATTTATTTGCTGAAACGAGCAGGTTTTTAGCTGAGTCACTATCTCCGGTCTCTTAGATCTTTCTACATCTACATGTTGGTACCAATTAACATTATATTGTTTATTATATATAATCTTTTAGATTTTTCCTCACAGGAAGAACCATCTTATTCTCAAAATATTTCAAATTCAGTTTAATTTGGTATAACAAATAATTCTTTACCCAATCAAATAAATTCTACAATAAACTCTGATACCTATCATAAACCACAAAAGAAATATAGCAATTGGAGTCAGGAAAAAATTGCAATAGCCATAAACAGAATTGAAATCTAAAATTATACAGCTAATAGAACGTAATAATGGATTTACGATAAAAAATATAGTGGAAAATTTACTACCTCATCTCATAATGAGTGATTCGGGAATATCTTGATAGATTCATTAAATCAATAGAATGGAGCTGAAAAAGGGTTGGAAAAGAACTCGAGAGACGGAATTCCCCAGATTTTATCAATATTTGTAAAGAATATTGCCTAAAAATGTGAACATGTCATTTCAATATATATTCTATTTAGAATTCTCACGTCATTTCTTACTATGGATGGGCCTATGGGTAAGAGGCCATCCGTCAAACTCCCTCCTTCAAGGGGGAAAAGGTATTGGTTTTGGGTACCATTACAGCAATAAAATTTAAAGCTTACCTGGATGAATTATCATCCATTTTGCCGTTGAATTCACTAATAATTATGGATGATGCGCCCATATATAACTCAAAATTTTCAAAATATAGTATATCTTACACCTTATTAAAGAGAATAAAGTCATGAAATTATCAAATTTAAAATAAATATTGTTAACGCATTCTTATCGTATCGGAGGGCAAAATTACTAAAAAATAATCAGGAGACCTTTGAATGAACCAATTAAGAAAAAAGTTCTATAATCTGATACCAGATATGACAACATTACTTTTTTTCAATCTGGTGCCGCCTCGCTGGCACCAGCATATTTCATTTTTTTGAGATATTTTATTTTCTTTAATTCATAAGGCAAAACATTAAATAAAAATAAATAAAGGAGGGAGAGAGAGAGACAATGGGAAAAACGAAAAGAAAAGAAAATGCATTTTTTATATCTTCATTTAACATTTGATTTTTTATAAATATAAATAAAAAAAACATTAAATAAATGTATCCCACCCAAATTTGTTAATGGGGGTTTTATTTGTTGGCCTCAATAAAACAATTATTTTATTCATTTTTTTTTATTTTATATAACATTAAAAACAAAACTTGACCTTTACATTGAGCGTGATTGAAAGAAGGGACCTCTATGTAATAGCGATATGAAGCTAAAAATAAAATCGTTATTATACAACAAAAGATTGCCATCCTCCCAAAATATTTTGCAATATTGGGTTTCAAGAAAACACCAAGATGCAGAATTATTTAAATTATCTCAAATAATTCTTGCTGCTCCTTGCACCCAAGTCTCAGTTGAGAGAGAATTTAGTGCATTAGCACTAACTGTAACCTCTTTAAGGACAAGATTAGACAAAGATATACTTGATGATATTTTAATTATAAAGTTTAATCGTACATTGTTAAATAATGTGATATTTTAAATCATTATTTATATAACCTATTTCATTATAAAGTTATTGTTTACATTGAAATTTTAATAAATAAAAATTCATATATATGACTGATTTAGATGATAACAATATAAATAGATTTTTTGTATGAATAGTATAATCAGAGGGGGGCATATTTTACTAGATATATCCAAATAGTAGTTTCTAAAATCTAAAATTGATTTAAAAGATTAAAGAAAAAATATTTTTAAATTTGTTGTTCCCAAAAATATCATGTTTATATTGATGCATCTTTCTAGTTCAACTCCATTCTGGTTGGCTCAAAAAATTTAACATATATGATACTATTATCATCTGCCCAGAGGTTTAAGTGTTTCCCAACAAGATCATATTAACCTAATTTAAAAATAATGGATATGAGTAATGTGATAATTTCAAAATATATATATTAAAATAATTTCAAAAGGGAGTTGAGAATTAGATATGTCACTTATCTATGGTACATATTCACTGAAATTTTAGTTTAACATGTTTACAATTTATTATTTTACCCTGTAAGTTCAAAAAAATTAAAAATGATAATTGTCACTTTTCTATGGTAGATCTCCACTGAAATTTTAATTTAACATGTTTACAATATATAATTTTATCCTTTTGCTTAAAAAAAATTCCAAAAAGATTAAAATAAACGTTTATGACAATTGTCACTTATCTAAGGTACATCCACATTTAAATTTAACAAGTTTACAATTTATTATTTTACCCTGTAACAAAAAAATTTAAAAGGGATTAAAAATGACGATTAAGACAATTTTCACTTTTCTATGGTAGATCTTCAGTGAAATTTTAATTTAACAGGTTTACAATATATATTTTTACCTATTTGCTTTAAAAAAATTCAAAAAAGTTCAAAGATAACAATTATGATAATTGTCACATTTCTATGGTACATCTTCACTGAAATTTTAATTTAACATGTTAAAAATATATAATTTTACCCTTTTGCTTCAAAAAAATTCAAAAATGATTAAAAATAACGATTATGACAATTGTCACTTTTCTATGGTACATCCACATTTAAATTTCAATTTAACATGTTTACAATTAATTATTTTACTCTGTTGCTTCAAAAAAATTCAAAAAAGTTCAGAAATAACGATTATGACAATTGTCACTTTTCTATGGTACATCCTCATTTAATTTTATATTTAATAAATTTTTATCTACTTGCTTTAAAAAAGTTCAAAAATAACGATTGTGACAATTTTTACAATCATTAAAACCATCTCGAAACATGCTCAAAAAATTTTTTCTTGCATTTTTTATACCTAAAATTATTTTTATAGGTTCTGATATGAATATTATGACAATGTCACCTTTATAGTTTACACATTAAATATTAATTCATGTTAGAAATAATCATTTTTCTCAATTTTCAATTAAAACATATGTGAAATAAGTATTATGACAATTGTCACCTTTATATGCTTTAAAATCACTGAAACCATCTCAAAACATGCTCAACTAGCCTTTTTTAATTATAATTATTTTTAAAGGTTTTGACATGAGTATTATGACAATTGTCACTTTTATAGTTTACATTAAATATAAAACATTAAAATTATGACATAACATTTTTAAAATAATCATTATTACTTATTCCAAATATTAAAAAAAATGCTGTCGGTATTATGACCAATTCTCACATTTACAAACTATTCAAAAAAAATATTTTCATTAACATAAAATAAAAAAAAATTTATATATCAAAAATTTTATTTTTAAAGAATTTACCAAAAAATTTTAAGATCAAAATTTCAAAAATGTTTTAATAAAGATTTCCTTACAAAAGATTTTATTTTATTATAAAATTCTCAAAATATTTTCTCAAAATTATAGAAGATTTTTTTACAAAAAATATTTTTTATTTTGCTCATAAATCTTCTTTGAGCAAGCTCAAAATTTTTTTTAGCGAAAAAATCTTCGCAAAAAATTGATCTTCAAAGATTTTTTCCACAAAATTTTGGGCGAAAAAAATCTTCAAATTTTTATTTGAAGATTTTTGTAAAACTCTGCATAAATTATGCTTATAATTACATAATTAAGTTATTTATTATACAAATCATTTATATTACTATAAAATATTAAGCTTGCAAAAATTTAATTAATATTTTAGGCTGCTTATTCACAAAATCCCATTTTAAAAATGGCGAACCTAGTATTATTAACGCCTGAGAAACATAAAAAACATGATCGAAATATACAATTTTTAGAAAAGTAATAGTTACAGCTTTGGCTATTTAACATATCAATTGTTATAAACTTTATAGGATAACATCATAAATTACTACTATAATCTAATATTTTAGTAGAGTCCAGTATCTTATAATTATCTATTTTGTTTAGAATAAAATAATTATTATCATACGAGCTCATCAAAACAATTAACCTTTCCAACATTCCAGATTATTCAAAAAATCCAGTACGCTATAACTACATTTAGCAAAAATCAGAATCAGGTCATTACCTTTACTATGTCTGTTAGCTCAAGAACTTTTATAACAATACAATAATAAAATATCCCCTGGACTCAATGGCATAGCATTTTATTTAATAAAACTTGAAAAAAACTTTCAAATATACTACCCTTATAATGATGAAATGGATTCTCCCAAAATCAAAATACCCAGCACCCCACATTTTACTTATACGGTCGCGTCTAAACAGCCCCCTCCCTACCCTTTATAGTAGTCATTGGTCTACCTCCTCTACGCTTTTTTAAGCTAGACAAATCTTTTGTAAAATGACACCTCTATTTTATACAATTTAATTTGCAAGGTCATGGTGGCAAAATTTTTTTTAAAATTATTATAAGGATTATATCGAAAACATTTAAGAATGATAGAATTTGGACTTATTTTATATTTAGCAATTATAAATCATATGCATAGGAAGCAATTAGAATTAATGAATCTTGAATAACTATCTAGAAAGCAATATGCGAATTTTGATAAACATAAGAATTAAAATAGGAAAGTAGAATATAAAAATAAGTTATCAGGTACCAATCTTTTAATCTTATAAGATTTTTAAATTATATCGGTATTGATCAGCCTATAAATCCTATCTGGATTTATCCGACGCTTGTAAGGTTCTATATTTATGTTTAGAATGAACATTTTATTATTTTATGTGATAAAAAAATATAATAATATAATTTCAATTACTTTTTAATATTTCTTGCTTGATTTTGGAACCTTGGACATATCCATTGTTGGAACATTTTTCCCTTCTACCATCTAAACCTTTACCTTTTCCAGCTTCGTCGAATCTCTCTTTATGAGTTCCTGTAAATTTTGATGAATCGGTTAATCGCGATACCACGTCTCTATTCATTATTTCCTAGTGTTTCATTAAAATTTAGAGATTGTAATATAAAATGAAATTCTTTCTATAATATGGAATTTATATAAATATTATTTATAAATTTAGTAATTGATTATTAACTCTATTTTGAACATGTGGCGTTTTGCATTCAGATATTTTCAGGGTAATATTTTTAAAGATTTGATCCTTCTCCGACATTTGCTCATCCAAGGTCATGTTCTTTTTCTTTTTTTGTAATTCCTTGACGATGTGATTGGCTATCTCTTGAAAAACGTTCTCTAAATCACTGAAATCTATCATTTTGATAGGTCCTGTACCTCTTATATAGTAAACAAAACAATAATTTTCCTAAGTTCTTAAGACCAGATAAGGAGGTGGGACCATAAAAAGGTGTTTATCGAGATTTAAATATATATATAACCTGCATAACTTATTAATATAGTTAATTTATTTTTAAAAGTCAAAAATTATATTCTTTATCTTTTATATAACAATAGCAAACTTTCAATCAATACATACATTTCAATATATATATAAAATACTTAAGTTTTTTTCCTATAATTTTCGTAAAAGCAATGTCGGTGTCGGTTGATTTTATAATCTTTCCGTCAATTACTTTGCTCTCTTTCATCCATTTATCGAAATTTTTGCTACTCATACACTTTCCCAGTGATTTTATATCGCCGAATTTGGCGAAGTTTGTAAAATTTTGTTTGATTAAATCCAAATTTTCAATCCAAATCGTTATACTTTAAAAATAGAAAAGGTTATTTATAAAAATAGATCAGAAATCATTTGTTATTTATCTTTATTATTATTAATCTATCATATAGTCATTATTTCAAACTAAAGAGATTTTTAAAATTTTTATATATCAGGCCATGAAGTGAAGTGACATAAAAAAATCAATATAATATAAATATAATGTTAAATATAATAATAATTTTATATTGTCTCTCATTTTTATTATACTTATGATTTGTATAGAAATCTTTTCGATTTTAAAGCAATTTTACAATAGAAAAAGGTGGAAAAGGTTTGAATGAATGTTAGTATGATAATAATGTATGAATGGCAATGGTGTAGAGTAAAAAAAATGATGGGTGGGAGGGGAGGGGAGGAGGCGCTATAATTATCAGAAATCTGCTTACCCGGCCTTAAACCCTACTCAGTGCCATTATTAGCTATAAAAATTAAAATAAGATACATTTTTAAAATAAGTCGGGCCGAAAAAAATACGGGCTGGGCGGTGTAAATGGTACCTTTGTTTGTCAAGCTAACCAATAAATATATAATAATATTTTTTCAAATTATGCTTAATTCCACTAAAAACTTATAAATATATAAAATAAAATATTTGTGTTTTCCCAAGTTACCCTCACCTCCCCTCGAAATGTCTATTATTTATTTAAAGAAAATAAGTGTTTTTATAGCAAAATATAGTATCGTTTAAATATAAAGATATTTGGAACCTATATTATCAATCTTGGATTATTATCAAACAAGATGCATAATTCTAATGTAAGATAAACGAACGACTACAATAGAAAAAAAAACATGACTGCGAAATGGGCATTTAGAACCTCCCCCCCCCCCCCCACCAACCAAATATTTTAGATTTTGCATTTATGGCCATTTTCACATATTTGAAGTGATTTGTAATTTTATAAAAAAATATTGTATAAATCATAATTAATATTATATGAATTGTGCTTACTTAATTTTGTAATTTATCAATTATTTATATTTTGATAAGGTATATTGCATATTTTTGTTTATTACCCAATTCATATTCTAATATGCTTATTCACCTTAAAAATGATGGAAAGTTTTCAAAATATGCAATTTCTGATCGAATCTGATTAACATGCAATTTCTGATCAAAATACGCAAAAAATGGCCCTGAACAGAAGTATACTATATTAGAACTCTCTAGGGGTACGAATCAATTACGTTATTATAGTATCCTTTTAGTTAACATACAAAGTAAGTAACCCTATAATTAAATTATTTTATATTTTAGTTATCGGTGGTGGTTGTGGGGGGGGGGGGGGGGGGGTCAAGTGATATTAATAACGTAGAGGGCTATAATATACCATATAAAGAAAAAATGAACATAAAATTCTTCATAATTTTGTTTGAATTCAGATAACAATTAATTTTTTTGAAGTTTTCCTATGAAAATTTAAAATAATCGTGAATCTAACAGTACCTAAAGCGAATTAATATTACGAATAACAAAGTTATTAGATTCGAAAATTTGAATCGTTACTAATAAATTTAACATATTCCTTACACAATATTTTATTTTTACTATATTTCTACATCTATAAATCATTTTTTAAATTTTAATACTCTATTTTTTCCAGATCAAATTTTGCCTAAAATTCTAAATATGTTTAGTAAAAAAAAATCGAGTAAACCTTTTATAATTTTCATGCAAAAGAAATTTTAAAAAATATTTTTTCAATTTTGAAAGTATTTTTAAAGAATTTAATTATCGAATCGAATATTCAACGAATCAAATCGAATAAAGTTTTTATTATTCGTACGAATACAAATAAAGGAATTATTCGATTCTAGAATGCTAATCAAATAGAAATTAATCGAATATGAATAATGCAAATATTCGATTCGTATTTTTGTAGGTTTATCTCTAACTAATGAATAATAATAATAATTAAATATTATAATAATATGTTTTTAGAATATTATCTTAACATAAAATAATTTGCACTTCGATACATAATTAAACCAATCACTCTACAATAAGAAACCCAAGATTTTTATTTTAGATGCATTCTAACATAATAGCAATTAATGTTTATTTATGGGTAATAAACTAATTATATAATATTGTTTTCACACACCCCCCTCTTAACCACCTCTCCAAACTCTCCCTCTAGTAATAATATTATTTATCGCCGTTTACATTTAACATTTTTAATATCGAAAATCGATATTTTTTCTATTGAAAATTAATTATTATAATATAATTCCTATCTGAAATTTTTTTGTCAAAACTGTTAAAAATCTAATGGTTTATACACTTCCCAGCTCGCCATACGCCATTTGAAAATTTCTAAAATATTTTTATAAGAGCAAATAGTTTTATTATGAACAGGTCGAAATATTGTCAAGTATAAATTATGAGATAGCGACATATTTATTACAATATATTTTAAAACACGAGAATTATATAAATAAAAAATATAGCATAAAATTATGAATCAGCTTTTAATAATTAGTATTCAATGAAAATAACTGCATAACAAAAGAAGAATTTTATCGTAATATAACTTTAAAAATAGTTGTATAATAACTATGTATTATATCAAGACATATTAATAAATATAAATATAGTGTAGATTGAGTTTGAAAAATAAATTCAATATAAAACACTATTATTCTTAACCTTTACTTTATCATTATGGGGAAAGAAATATAAATAAAAAGCTTTTTCTTAACCTATAAATATAGTTCTTTCAAAGATTTTAAGAATATTTCTAGTTTAGAAATTTTTAATCAAAGTTTAAAGTTTGCATTAAGGTGTTCAATAACTTTTTTTAAGATATATAAACTTAAATGGGCTATATCGGTTTATAAAAAAATGTAGTTTATGATTTCTCATTCACTAGATGAAAGTAGTAAAATGAAAAACATATTTGAAACAAACAATAATAATGTTTCAATCACAAGGAAAAAATTAGAAATAATGTATTTATCTGCATTCTTTAAAAATACTTTTTTTAATAATCCAAAATCACTATGCAATTATAATATTACGACTTAAAAATTCGTTTAAAAAATTGATATATATTTAAAAAATTTGATAAATAATTTAAAAATTTGAAAAATTCAATTTCATTATAAATAATTTAATAATATAAATGACCTTACTTATTATTGTCCATATAGATATAATATTATAAATATATTATATAATTTTATTCCAAAAAAGGTATAATTTTTTTTATATTTTTTGAGATATTATTAAAATAAATTAATAATTATATTTTAGTTATTATTTTTAAAAAATGTAAAAAATATGTAAAAAAATAATAATATTGAAAAGAAGTATATTATTATGTAAATATCAATTTTTCGAGACTCGACCTAATTTATCATATTTATATTTATATCTATATTATACTATATATAAATTTAATAAAATTATTTTTCTATGCCCAAGTGATTCATACTTTAGTACATTGGTCCATTAAATAAAAAATTTACAATATGGTGTGATGAGTATTGAATCGAGTATAATTTAGATTATAAGCTTCTTATAAGAGAAAATCAAAACATCAAACAATCCAGGGCGGAAAATGTATCTTCCCAGGTAGAGCGCCTTGAGATACATCCTATCCAGGATGCGTTTTTTTAAAGATGAACCCATTTTTCAAATTCGATTGACGGGGTTAGGCTAGCTTTTTGAGGTCTTTGGCCAGATTATTTATATTTTAAAAAGTCTTGGGTCATCATTTTTTCTGAAAAATTTTAATTGTCGTCTTTAAAAAAAATTATTTATGATGAATAATTGGAAAAATGATCCTATGGAAGGAAATCGGTCTTATTTTTTATGTCATCTTTTAATATTCAAAAATTTAAATTTGGAATCTACCGAAACTAATAAAAAATATTATTTTCGAGGGATATTCTTATTATCTTTTTTTAAAAGGTCTTCATACATACTATTAGGTGGATATGCTAGAGATACAAAAATTTCAGGTGCAAAACATCCTTACCTAGAATATTAGAAATTAAATTCTATTTTTAATTATATGCATTCCCATCCTTCTGATAAAAATAGACAAGCCATTTAAAATCTATTTTTAGCATGAAAAAGATGGTCGCAGGCACTATGGGGAAGTCTCCTAAGATATGCCGAAGAAGTTTCTAAATTTGACAATGTTATGCATAAGGCTATCAGAGGAGTCAGTTAAAAGAACTTTGAGAATATTTAAATAGCATCATCTAGTAATTCCTGATCATTTACAAAACTGGTGCACAATTAAAATTGTATCTATGATACTCTGAAGAAAAAGAGGGAAACGGATGTTATCCACTTATTGTCATTGGTTATTATATGTGTAGAAATATGTATTAATTTTTTTTGATTTTATTTCTTACTTTCGGGGACTAAATTTATTTACGTTTTTCTCACAAAATAATTATAAAATTTATCATTCATCGAAAAGTAAAAGGCTGACTCCTTCGTTTTTTTTGTTTAGAAGAAAATGTTCCTTTGAGCAAAATGTTCAGATCCTTCATAAATGGATTTCCTTTCAGATTATATCTCATCTATAATTCAACTCTTACTAAAAAAAATTTCTATATAATTGTCTCTCTATATTTCCATCATTTTTTTACTTTCATAATTGTAAGATCTAATAATCATTGTATTTTTACTAATCATTATTTTTTAAATAGAAGGTTTTTAAAAATGCAAGAATGGTTTACTCCATTTATAGTTGCTTAATGTCCCATAATATAGAATAGAGTTATATTGTAAGCTTATATAAATGACATAAGGTTTTATCAAACTAGTCCCATATTTCAGTTATTCCCTCCCACTCAAATAATTACTTTTAATTATAAAAATTTAAACATTTAACATTTTGGACGAGGGTATAAAGCAACTGCTTCTTAAAATTTGAATGGGGGTTTCATTTTTTTTTTTACCACATCCATTATAAAATTATTTTTCAAAATATGGACAAAAATTTTGACCAAAAAATTTTTTTTATACCCTTTGTTAACTATCACATTAGGGAACTTCGGTGAAGATGTAATTTATTTTTAAAAATTTTAGGCAAAAAGTTAAATAACGATCATTGGAGATCCTAAAGAAAATTTATATCTCAGACAAAGAATATCTCTTGATATACATAGATTACTTTTATTTCCATCCTCGTCTCCATACCTAATAAAAATAATTTCCTATTCCACCGTTCTTTTAAAAAAATATGTTAGCTTTAAATATATATTTTTTCGGAGGAACAAATTATTCTGGCATTTTTTATTAAGAAATGGGCGATATTTTAATTAAATGGGCAATAGAAAAAACATGATAGGTATTTTAAAATTTTGGGCAGTTGATATTTAATTTTCAATTTCATTGATTTCGGGATTATTTAAAATAAATAGGTAGGTTTAAAATAATTTGGCAGGTATTTTAAATTTTTGGTCAGTTAATAATTAATCTTCCATTTTTTTTTATTTATTTGGGGAGTTTTAATTTCTCTAGTACCAAAATTACATCAAGCAGAGACAGGCGCGTACGCAGGAATTTGGTCTGGGGGGGGGGGGGGGGATAATAAATTTTTTTAAGAAATATTATTGTTATTTAAAAATATCAAGCATAAATTTATTAGGACTAATAACTAGTTCTAATACACAATTTTAAATTATATATGAATTATAAAAAAATTATATATATAAACCGGCACATAAAAAACTATAAAATAAATGTGAATTAAAAAATATAAAGTGAATATAACCACCATATGAATTACTTAAATGACCCAAAATAGAAATTTGAAATTTTTGAGCCTTTAAAATTTATATATAAAGTAAAAAAAATTTAATGTTGGGAATATAAATATTAATACAAAAGTTTCTTAGGAATAATTGTATTTTGTATTATATTTACAATGTAAAATCCAATCTTCCTTGGGATTGAGCTAATTTTTCAATTACTCATCCTTGCTTGGCGTCAAATGCCTATAAATATTTAAAAGATCCAAACCATTCAATCCACTTTCAGAAGCTGTACTTCTTAGGTATGTTTTCAGAGAACTGCAGGCCCGGTTTCCGGGCCGGGCCGGACCGTATTTTAATTTTTTAAATACACCCGAGCAGGGCCCGAAATTTTTTAAAAAAAACAGCCGGACCGGGCCTGATTTTTTTTAAAAAAAATTATCCGGGCTTGGCTATATATTTTAAAAACAAATATTTGAAATTAGCTATAAAAATCAAAAATAAATATAATTTCTTTAAAAAAAACGCAGGCTGGGCCGAAAAAAAATTTTGAAAAAAATCCCGGCCGTGCCCTGCAAATTGTATCTCTGCAGGGCTCTGTTATTCTTCTTAAAAAGGAGAATGTTCTCTCATTAGTTTACTAATGGGAAGAGTTGCTAATATATATATATATAATCATTTTAATACATTGGGAATAAAATCTAAAATGTGTTTGAAATTATACAAAGCATCTATAGCATTTTTTGAGACTATATCTTAGTTAATCTTTTAAACATAGTTATTCAGCTAATAAGGCATCAAACAAATATTATTTTTTTTCTATCACCATCTGAAAAAGATTGAGAAGGCTTTTGTGGAAGTAATATCTGCAGATTGGTAAGTGCTGCATGATGAATTAAAAACCATTCATTTATTTGGATTATAGTTTTATAATACTTTTCTACTGATCTTATACTAATGTTTTGACGATGAGCTTGCCTTGCTGCAAATCGAGGAGACAAATATTAAACACGTATAGCTCTCCTTTTGACTCAACGATAACATATAAAATTGAAATTCTTCATCAACATTAGCCCTAATTTCCTTGAGTTCTAATAAAATGCTCTCCGCTATTCTCATCTTCTTAATCAAGTCAATGTCATGTTTTTGAAAAGGATTACATAAAATAGTTGTATAATTAAATAATACATTCTAATGAGAAAAAAAAAATTGAAATAAGTATTGAATCCAATAATTTTCTTGCTTCTGAGGAAATATTTCTTTCAGGCAATTGTAATATTTCAGTAATAGCATTAATAATCGGTTCTTCTAACTCCATAAAAGCTGTTACTGCTTGATGGCGGAGACTCCATCTCGTTGGACAAGCTTGCATTTTCTTTTTCTCTGTTGGACACGGAGTTTCAGAAAAATTATTATTTGACTAGAAATATGAAAATGGTAGATAAATAATACGCCACTAGAAATTTGAAAATAATAGGTAAATATTACGCCAATGAAAACTTGAAATCGAAATTAATTGATAAATAACTTAATAGATGAATGTGATAAATAAATGTAATTAAATATATATTTAATATGAGATAGGAATAAATATTAACAAATATAAATTAATATAAACATTAATATTTTTGAAAATCCGGCATCTGCATTTTTTGGCTTAATCCCCCCCCCCCCCCGCTGCGTACGCTAATGAGCTGAGATTATAGCTGATATCAATAAATTACAATTAAAAACCAAATTATTCTTGCTAGAGCTTCTACAATCTTTATTAAAAGGTTGGAACAGCAGTTTCTGTCTTTTTAATTATTTTGAAATGGAATAGCTGGATCCAAACAACACTTGGCATAGAGGTTTTAAACACTACACCTAGCACCAACAATGCACTAGAAGCAAACAATCGAGTATTTAAAGCTGAGAATACACTTAGAGAATGCTTATCATCCCGTTTTAAAATTGTTGCTATGTAGATGGTTAAAAAATGGTCTTTACCCTATACTAGTGTTGTTAAAACGCCGCGAGTCGCGACCCCGACCCAAAGCTCGGGTCGTTTTATTCGACTCCGACTCAATGTTTGAGTCGTTTTTTTCGACTTCGACCCGAGTTCAAGCCGAAAAAAACGACTTCGACCCAAAATATGGGTCGTTTTTTTCGACTCCGACCCAAGTCCAAGCCGAAAAAAACGACCTCGACCCAAAATATGGGTCGTTTTTTACGACTCCGACTCAAAATTTGGGTCGTATTTTTCGACTCAAACTTGAAATTTGGGTCGTATTTTTCGACTTAAACTTGAAGTTTGGGTCATATTTTTCGACTCAAACTTGAAGTTTGGGTCGTATTTTTCGACTAAAACTTGAAGTTTGGGTCGTATTTTTTGACTCAAACTTGAAGTTTGGGTCGTATTTTTCGACTCCAACTCAAAGTTTGGGTCGTTTTTCTGACTCAGACTCAAACATCGGGTCGTTTTATTCAATCCGACTCAAAATATGGATCTTTCTTTTTAAAGACGACTTAAAGTTAGGGTTGCTTTTTTTCACCCCTAACCCAATATC